GTTTTTTTGGGGGGGGGGGGGGGGGTGGGAAATCCCCCCCCCAAAAAAAAAAAACCCCCTTTGGGGGTTTTCAAAGTAAAACTTTTTGGGGTTTTCCGCCAAAAGGGGCCCAAAAAAAACCCCCCTTTAAAAAAAAACCCGGCTTTTTTTTTTTTTTTGGCCCGGGGGGGGGGGTTTTTTTTTTTTTTTTTATAAAAAAAAAAAAAAAAAATTTGGTTTTTTGGGGCCCCCCCGGGGAAAAAAATTTCCCCCCTTGGGGGGGGGGGTAAAGGGCCCCCCCCTAAAAGGCACCCCCCCTAAGGGTTCCCCCCCCCCCCCCCCCCCCCCCCCCCCCCCCGCCCGCACCTCCTGTGCGGTTTTTCCGCCGCATTGCAGGACCGCGAAATCATGCGCAAGGACCCGCACAAGCTGGTAGAGGGCTGCCTGCTCGCCGGCTACGCGATGCGCGCCCGCGCGGCGTACATCTACATCCGCGGGGAGTATTTCAATGAGGCCGTAGTGATGGACGAGGCCATCCACGAGGCCTACCAGGCGAGCTACTATGCGACGCTATGCTACGCTATGCTATTGTAGTGTATCATTATTTCGTCTCGGCTGTTTTGTTGATGGTGCCCCATGCTGCTACGCCGTTGTACTCTTGACATGATTTTTGGTGTCTTCTGTTTTTTATGTGGTGTCCCATGCCCCGAAGCTATTCAATAAATGGTTCTACAAGGCACGCTTTTGTGTCATCGCTTTTTAGATGGTTTCCGATGCTACTACCTGGCGAGCTATGCTACGCTACGATACGCTACACTGTGCAACGCTACTCTACGCTTCGTTTTGTACTCCGAACACGATTTTTTGTCCATCTGCTTGTTAGAAGGTTTCCCATGCTCCTATAGTAAGCTACTCTCCCAAGTGGACACGCTTTGTTTGTCATCTGTTTGTTTTATGTTGTCCCATGCTGCTACCCGGCGAGCTATGCTACTCTACCACTATTTTTTGTCACATTTTTTTTCGATGGCGTCGCAGTGCTGCGCCCGTTTTTTCTCTGCAAACACATGTAGTTTTCCACGCTCGCTACATTTTCATAGCTGTGATTTTGCTCTCGCACATTGGTCTGGTTTTTGTCTATATGGGCACACGCTGCTACAAAGCGAGGTGGTCAGGGCCTTTGCCCCAACCTTGAACCTGAACCTTGGGTCTCTTCCCTTGCGCGTGGCTCGTGTCGTTTCGAAACGAAACCGTCGGTGTTTCAGAAAGGCTTCCTCGGCAAGAACGCCTGCGGCTCCGGCTACGACTTCGACGTGTACCTCCACCGTGGGGCGGGGGCCTACATCTGCGGCGAAGAGACCGCTCTCATCGAGAGCCTCGAGGTGCGTGAGCCCGGTACTTGGACGGTCACGTAGCCTTCCCAGGGGTTTGGCGATTATGTAAACGTGTTGGATGAGGCATGCAATCGCGCGAGTAAGCTGGGTTTGGAATTGTAGGGTCTGCGTATCCCCCTCCCTGTTGTGTGTTTTCCTCACAGACTTGGTTTCTCGCGAAGGCGGTAACGGCAGCAGCGACAGCAGCCGCTGCACGTGTCTGTGTCTTTCGACCACGAAATATGGCGACAAGACTAGCATCATCCTTTCATCGCCGCCCCTGCTTGCGCAGAGGCCGGCCTTTGTGCCATGCTACCTCCGTGCAACACCCCGTGTCCGTAGATTTTCTATTCGACAGCGCTCGTATGCATGACCCCCCCCTTTTTAGCCACGTTTCTCTTTGGCAAAGAAGGAAGGAACGATTGACCATCGGCGATCGGTCCCGTGGGAACAATGCTCCGACCTCTCGAGGACGCGCGGTCAATGGTCTAACCGCTAAGGCATCCACAACCCAAGAATAAGCCCGCCCCCCCGCGGGGCCGTGGCGCAATGGTAACGCGTCAGATTCCAGTCCTGAAGATTGGGAGTTCGATTCTCCCCGGCCTCACTTTTTAACCCCCTCCTCGGCCTCACTTTTTTAACCCCCTCCTCGGCCTCACTTTTTTAACCCCCTCCTCGGTGTTTGCCATCGGGGTTGGGTTTTCGTCGCTTAGCAACGACGTTGAAAAACAAGCCGCCCCCCTCGGTGTTTGCCATCGGGGTTGGGTTTTCGTCGCTTGGCAACGACGTTGTAAAACAAGCCAATTCACTCCGTGAACTCGGCAACCAGGTTACCGTTTTTTTTTTTTACCTCGTTTTTTTTTTTGGCGGTAACCATAATGGTGGTCGAGTAGATCATGTTGTGCGGGGTGGAGAAACCTCACTCCGCGCAACGGGGGATGATCGCACCACGTTGTGTTAAAATGGTCAAGCATCCTCGAGGCAGCTACACAGTGCTTGTAACTGTCTCTGGAAGTGAACGCACCAGAAAATAAATTAAGTCATACGCAGCTGTCATCCGTACGCAAGGAAGTAAGCACAAGATGCCGAACACCCTTAGCAAGATGCAGCTCACCCTTCATGCGACTCGCCGAATACCTCACGGTGCTTCGCGCTTGGTGATGTGAGAGCCTGGTCCGGTGAGAACCCGGCGTGCTCCGTCCCGGCTTTGTAGGGATGCGAGGTCAATGGTCTAACGACTACGGCATGCACGACTATGAGTACACCCCCCCTCCCCCCCCCCCCC